TCTCTCTCTCTCTCTCTCTCTCTCTCTCTCTCTCTCTCTCTCTCTCAGCCTTGCACTTGTCAAGCAGGTGCTGAGCTGCTGAGCTACATCCCCAGCTCCCTGGCCTCTCTTTCCAGGACTTGCTCCCAGCCCTCACCCACCTGCCCCTCCATGCAGCAACTCCCCTTCTTGCCCCCTGGCCTATTCTCTTATTGCCCCCATGCCCTGTGCCATCAGCCTTCTGTTACCCTCACTTGTCCCCATCTCACTTGTCCCCTCACCTGTCTCCTCCCTTGTCTTTCTGCCTTACCTGATCCCCTCTCTCTAGTTCCTTCCTCCTGTGTCCTATCACTTGTCCCCTGTCACTTGCCCTCCTTCCCATAGTCCCCACCTAGTGCCACCCACTGAGCCCTCTGGCCTCTCTGGCCTCACCCACCTCCCCTCACCTGCTCTTTCTCACTTCTCCAGGCGTGGGAGCGCCCCATGGCCCTGCAGGCTGAGCTGGCCCTGACCCTGGAGGTCCTGGGCACAGTGACTGACCCGGCCCTGGAGGACGTCCTGGAGCAGCCCCTCCACACTCTGTATCACATCCACACCAAAGTCCAGGCCTGTGTGAGTCCCCCCACCCACCCCATGACACGGGCTCTAACCACCCATCCCTCCTGCTGCCCAGCCTGCCTCACAGCACCTTCTCTGCCACAGATGCCATCTCAGCCCACAGCAGCCCCCAGCCCTGATGATGCTGAACCAAGCCACAACTCCCACTTATCCTTAAGATTCTGGAGACAGTGGTTCCACCAGGCCACCAAGGTAAGGGAGGAGGAAGGGCTGATGACTGGGGGGCACTTGGGGGCCAGATCAGGGACAGCTCCTGAGCCCTGTGTCCCCACAGGAGTCCCCTGGCTGCCTCCAGGCCTCTGTCACCTTCAACCTCTTCCGCCTGCTTACCCAGGACCTGAGATATGTTGCCAGTCCAGAACTGTGAGCTAGAGAATATGGACTTTCCCAGCCTGTCTGGGACCCCAGACCCTATTTATGACCTAGCCCCTGCACCCAGCTCAAGTTGTTTGCTCTTTCTCCATATTTATGGACCTACAGCCCTAACTCGGGCCCAGAGCTGCATTTATTTATATACTTTTTTTACTTTTATACAATATATACAAATAAAAAAACATGGTATTGAATGCTTCTGTGGATGAGGAATCCTTGTTGTGTGTGCACTGGGGACTGAGGGTGGATGTGCAAGTTCACAGGCAGGACTCATGGCTAGCACTGCGCACATGTGTACCCAATCAGTATGGCTGCATCTGCTGTGTACCTGGAATATTCCCCAGAGGCTTGGTCTCTAGTATGGCAGAGTTCAGAAGGGGAGCAGTGGGGAGGTGATTGGATCATAAGGGCTCTGATTTGATCAATGACTTGATCCACTGATGGGTCCAACTCTGATTGGCTATTGGAGGATGCTAAAGAAGTAGAAGGTAGGATGAGGAAAAGAGAGGGACTTTGGGGTCCACCTGGGGGTTCTACCTGGGTCTGTCCTCTCTCTCTCTCTCTCTCTCTCTCTCTCTCTCTCTCTCTCTCCCTCTCTCTGCTTCCTGGTTGCCATGGGTGTACAGCTTTACTCTACCAGATGCTGTCCACCATGATATTTGTCTTTGTCCCAAGCCAAATGCTATAGGGTCAAGCAACCATGGACTGAAACCTCTGAAGCCATAAGCCAAAATAAATCTTTCCTCCTTTAAGTTGACTTTCTCAGATATTTTGTCACAGTGATGGAAAACAAGATCCAAGTACCTCCCCAAACCCAAGTCTAAGCAGAGATGTGTAGCTGTGCGTGTTTATACTCATATGCATGCAAATTCACATTTATGCACATGTTTATATGAATCTGTTTCTCCCTGTCTGCTTGAATTGTGTATTTCCCTTTGTAGTGTGTACCTAGGACAGATGGGGTCTATATCTGTCAGGATGTTTTATTCTATAATCAGTAAATAGAAAGTGCAAATAATCAAAGTAAAAATGAATTTATAATTCCATCTAAGAAAAAGATCAGCTGGATTTAAGAAGAATAAAAGAAAAGGGGCCGGGGAGATGGCTCAGTGGAATAAGCGCTTCCTTGGCAAGCGCAAGGGTCTGAGTTCAATCCCCGGTTCCGCCAAAAAAATAAATAAATAAATAAAAATTAAAAAAAAAAAGAATAAAAGAAAAGAAAGAAAAAAATTAACTGGCAGAACAGATCTAGGACAGGTTAATTAATTTATTTAATAATGTTCTTAGGAAACCAAGTCCTCTTCAATTCCATTGACTGACTTCACACTGTGACCACTAAACTGGGTGTTATGGCACAAGCCTGCAATCCCAGCACTCAGGAGGCCAAGACAAGAGGATTGTTATGACTTCGAGACCAGTCTAGGATACAAAGTAAGCTCAAGGCGAGCCAGAACTGCATAGTGAAACCCTGTCTCAAAAAACAGAAACATCCAACATGCTGTGGTGACTTCATGATCCCTAGACAGCAGCCATAGCTCCAGCTCTCCCATTCAAACAACCTCCAAGCCATTCCACACTCAAGGGAGTGAAATAACAACCACCCTGTTACGATCACCAGACCCAACCTAGGTAGCTTGCCTCACTCAGCTCTACGACACTCAAGGCCTCATGTCTTCTCTACTTTTCAAAATGGTGTTGGACATGTGTGTATGCTGGATAAGTGCTCCATGACCAACCTACATCCCCAGCCGTACTTCCACACTAATTAGGAGATCAGTGGCAGACACATTCAACTATTTGTTCTTTGACAAAGGGACAAAAACACACTGCAGGAAAGAGCCTCTTTAATAAATGGTGCTGGGAGAATTGGCTATCCACATGCAGAAAATTGAGTCTAGGTCCATATACTTCACCAAGTACTAAACTAAAATCAAATGGATCAAAATCTAAATATTAATGGAATAAACTTATTCATAATCCACTGTGCCAGTCTATTTCTCTATATTGGTGAATTAAGTCCATTTAAATTGATGGTTATAATTGAGATGTATTGACTTACGATTGACATGTTATTTACCTGTTGTCATTTACTCCTTTTTCTCCTGTGTTTAATTGTTTGCCCTATTTAGTTGGTTGCATCTGATCCCATTCATGGAGTTCTGGTCATTTTGGTCCCTCTCTAGAACATCTTTCAGAAGCCTGTGTAGGGTTGGCTTTGTCATCATGAAATTCTTTTTTTTTTTTTTTTTTTTGTGGAACTGAGGATTGAACTCACGCCCTTGCACTTGCCAGGGAAGCACTTATACTGCTGAGCCATCTCCCTGGCCCATGAAATTCTTTAGTTGTTCTTTGTCATGGAAGTATTTCACTTCTCCATCAAACTTGAAAGAGAGTTTTGCAGGGTATAGTAGTCTGGGCTGGAATTTGTTTTCATAGAGGACTTGAAGTACTCTGCTCCATGCTCTTCTTGCCTTCATGGTTTGTGAAGAGAAGTCAGCCGTAATTCTGATGGGTTTTCCTTTGAATGTGATCTGCTTCTTTTCTCTAGTGGCTTTCAGTATATTATTCTTGTGCTGAATTTCTGGGATCTTGACTATTATATGTCTCGGTGTGTTTTTAATTGGGTTGAGGTTACTCGGTGTTCTGTATGCTTCAGTTACCTGGATGTCAGATTGTTTCCTCATATTTGGGAAGTTTTCTGCTATTACTTCTGCCCATATTTTTTTAATGTCCCTTGTACTGACTCGGAATAAACTTATTCAAAAGGAAAGAATTACTGAGTTGAGGAGAAGGACAGGAGAGGAGGTGGGGGAAAGAGATTTATCTATGTATGTAAGCAGGATGGTTGGTTCAGACAACTGTACTGTGCAATTCTGCTGGTGCATGGGAAGAAGCAGTTACTGTTTTGTTTCATCTCCTTTTTTCAATTGTTTGTACTTTTTCTCTCCTTAATTTCTTATACATTCCTTTCTTTTTTCTTTCTTCTTCCAGTTTCACATGTATTTATCTAGTAATAGCAATAACTGGTTGGAAGACAGCACTATGTATTACAAAAAATACTCTGAAATTCATATTACTTTGTTGAGTGAAATTCTGTATCACTTGTAATTTTTTCTGTTTTAATTCTAATTTGTACTCTCTTTGAAAAATTTTAAAAAATAAAAAACAAAAACAAAATAAAAAATAAAAATAAAAAACAAAATCTAAATATTCTCAATGGAATAAGTGCTTCCCTGGCAAGCACAAAGTTCTGAGTTCAATCCCCAGTTCCGCCAAAAAAATAAAAAATAAAAAATAACTAAATATTAAAACAAAAATACTTAATTTTCTGTAAGATAAACTAGGCATAGATGATGATGTTCTAAACAGAACTCTAGTGGCACAATAAATAACACTGAGAATGAATGAATGAATGAAATCACATTACATTAAGAGGCTTCTACACAAGAAAGAGAGGGGCAAGGGAGATGGCTCAGTGGAATAAGCACTTCCCTGGCAAGCGCAAGGGCCCAAGTTCAATCCCTGGTTCTGAAAAAAAAAAAAAAGAAAGAAGAAAAAAAGAAAGAATTACACAAGAAAGAAAACAACCAACAGAATGAAGAGACAGCTTATAGAATGGAAAAATACTTGTCAGCTCTTCCTAGACAGAGAATTAACATCTAGAATATATAAAGAACTAAAAAAAAAAAATTAGACCTCCCAGAATAAAAGACTCAATCATAAAATGGATAGAAACTCCTCACAAGAAGCAGTACAGACTTTCAAAACATACAGAAAAGAAATATTCAACACCACTGGCCATTAAAGAAATGGAGCTGTGCTGGTCACCAAAACTGGGCATGGTGGTGCATGCCTGTATTCCCAGTGCTGGGGAGATTGAGACAGGAGGATCACTATGAGTTCAAACTGCATATCAAATAATGCTTTAATTTGTAAATAATTTGTAATAAATAAATTTTTTAAATATTTTTAAAAGAAATGCAAATTAGCCAGTTGTGGTGGAACACCCCTATAATCCAGCACTCAGGAGGCTGAGGCAGGAGAATCACCAAAAGTTCAAGACTAGCCTAAACTACATAGAGTGATCCTGTGTCAAAGCCAAAACAAAACAAAACAAAAAAGCTAATTAAAACAACACTGAGGGGCCTGGCGAGATAGCTCAGCAGTCTAAAGCACCTGCTTAGGCAAGCTTAGACAGGTGCAGGGGACCATGGTTCAATCCCCAGTCCCACATGCTACATCAGCCCTGCCCTCAGGGTGGGCTGAGCAAGCCAACAACAAAAAAAGAAAAAGAAAGAGAGAGAGAGAGAGAGAGAGAGAGAGAGAGAGAGAGAGAGAGAGAGAAAACAACACTAGAATCCATCTTACAGAAAGAAGGGCTCTCATCAAAAAATCAGATAACAACAAATGTTGATAAGGCTGCAGAGAAAAAAGAAGCCACCTACGTTATTGGTGAGAATATAAACCATACAGGGGTAATCCTACAGGGTGGTTGCAGTTTCACCTATGTTCTACCTACATTATGACTTTACTGTATAAATTACCTCCTCAATACAGCAACAATTGTTGAATTCCTATTACTTTGTTCAATGAAATTTTGTATCATTTCTAATACTTTTTTTTTTTTTTACTATTTTGTATTCTTTAAAAAAAATTAAAAAGTTAAAATAACAATTTAAAAACAGGAGCTGGGGAGATGGCTCAGTAGAATAAGCACTTACCTGGCAAGCACAAGGGCCTGAGTTCAATCCCAGGTTCCACCAAAAAAATTAAATAAAAACAAAAGGCTGTGTTGGGTCAGGGAGACAGTTCAGTGGACTAAAGCAGCTGCTTAGGCAAGCTTAGTCAAGTGCAGGGAGTTGGATTCCCCAGCACCATATGCTTCGCCAGCCCCGCCCCCAGGGTGGGCTGAGCCAGCCAGAGTTTGGGCATAGTGGCGCAGGCCTGTAATCCCCGTGCTCAGGAGGCTGAAAACAGGAGGATCACGATGGGTCTGAGCTGTGTAATGAGACCCTGCAGTGACCAAATAAATAAATGTACTCTGTTCATTTTTAAGGGACCATGCAACTAACTTCTTAAATGAGTTTGTTGTAAAGAATTTAAATAATACTAGCACTCGGCAGGCTAAGACAGGAGGATCGCTGTGAATTTGAGGTCAGCCTGGGCTACATAGTGAGTTTAAGGCCAGTCTGAGCTAAACAGCGAGATTTTGTCTCAAAAACAACAACAACAATAATAATTTAAATAGAGCTTAATGCTGGATAAACTTCAATGTATGTGTTTGCTGCTGTTACTCTTATTATTTTAATATCTTCCCTGGTTCCCTTCCTTCCTGTGTAATTCATCAGGATAAAAACCTGAGATGTGAAGCAATGACAGCCATTTTGTGACTCTGAGGTTCATGGTTCGATCAGCTCCACAAAAATCAAGTAGCAAGTTTTTAGGATTCAACCTAATATATGGTAACCCCTTTTCACAAGCCATGAGACCTGTGGTTACCTCCCATCTGGCCAATGAAAGCATTCCATCCCCTCAGTGCCATAACCAGAGGGGATGGCCTGGCCATGTGACCTCTGCCAATCAGAGCCCTTTCCTGGGATTTTTTCTCTTAGGACTAGAAATTCTGCCACATGACTTCTGGGCTGTGGAAGGCTTTTCTCCCACCATGTGCAGTTGAAAGAGAAGACTCCAAGCTGAGGAGAAGAGAAGCATGTGGGAAGAGGGTCTTGAAGAAGCTGGGGCCCTGAGGCCCTGGTTCTTGGAGTTTTACTCTTCAGTCTTTCTCTTTCTCAGCTATGGGGAGAGGGTACATTATCCTTTATTGACTTGGCTGAGTTTCTGTGACTTGCCACCAGAAGACTTTCAAACACTCCCTGACCATCCAGGAAGTGTTTGGGCTGGGGAGCTCCTCTGGGCTTCCAAAGTCTCCTCAGCTCCCCCTCGTGGCCCTATAGCCCATCTGACCTCGAGGAGGGCAGAGCTCTTCCCTGGTCACCACTGTGTCTCCAGGGCCCAGCAGAGAGAGGGCCAGCACAATGCCCAAGAGCTCTGCTTGGCTGCCACTTAGCTGTTCTCACTTAGTGTGTTTATTTCTTGGGCTTAAAGTCCTCAATTTTGAAAGACAATTATGACATTGGCATTAATAGCTTGAAATGAAGGGCTTGGAGAATAGAAGAGGGATGGTAGGTGGATGTCACACAAGGGGTTGGACTAGGGACCATGTGGGCCCCAGATGCATGAGAGTGCAACTCCTAATTTCCCGCCTGGTCTTGGGGATGGAACACGGCCTCATCTGCTCTGGGCAAGTGTACTACCTCTGAGCTACATCTCCACCTCTTTTTATATTTTGAAACCAGGGCCCGCTAAATTGCACAGGCTGGGCTCCAACTCATAGTCCTCCTGCCTGAGCCATCTAAGTAACTGGAATTGCAGCTGTGCACCTCTGCACCCAGCCTAATTTTGTTTTGAAAGTAAGTACACCCTATCCCAAAGCTGGAGTCTCCATGGATATCAGACCCCATACTCACACCCTGATGAAAACCCTCCACCAGCTGCCCTAGTCCTGAAGAATGAGGCATTAATTCTTGACCACAGGCCACAGGCTACATTTTTCTGCAGAATCTGCTATCTGCTTGCTCCTTGTACCCCCGTCCGCTCACTCTCCCCTCATTCCAGTCCAGACACACTGCCTCCAGCACACCAATCACACCTCTGCCTCAAGGCCTTTGCATCTGCTCTTAACTTTGCTTGGATTCCTTTTTCTTATCTCTTCTCAGAGCAGATGTCTTCAGCTCCAGCTTCACTCTCCTTGACCCCTCCCCAAGCTAAAGTAGGCTTCCTAGTCACTCTCTGTGCTGTCATCCTCCTTTCATTCTTCATGTGGCATTTATTTACTGTTACTTTTTCCTTCCTGCCCCAGCCTCACAGAGCTGAGACCTTAGGTGTCTGCTACCACACCTCCACTACTCATTTTTTTTACTTGCTTTGCTTATTAATTTGCTTCCTCTCCCCTCTAGAATAAAAGCTCCATGGGGCCTGGCTTTCTTGTGTTTAGTTGGTCCATTTCATCCATTGTTTCAGCCCCTGTGTCAGGCCAGGCATGCGAGACATGCCCAATAAAGCTTCACTGACGGCAGACATGGTGGCACATGCTTGTAATCCCAGCACTCGGGAGGCTGAGGTAAGAGGGTTGCTGCAAGTTCAAGGCCATCCTGGGCTGTACAGTGAGTTCAAGGCCTGTCTGAACTACACAGCAAGACCCTGTCTCAAAACACAAAGCAAAGCTTCACTGAGTGTCTGAGAGACAATGGTTAGGTAGGCAGGGTTTGGAGGAGGTCGGCTGCCCAACCACGACTCTGATGTCTACTGACTCACATGATACTGGGCAAGTTCCTTTACTTGTCCTAGTGCCAATTTCCTCATCTAGAAAGTTGGGGGCACATACTGCACGTCTGCTGCAGGCTTTAAACGCGATTGTGCTAACTGTGGGAGTCGCTCCACTGCACGAGGACTGGGTGGCAGGCTTCTTACTCACCCCACAGAGAGGGTTCCTGAGCTCAGTGTCTGGCTGGTGGGAGGCACATGGGGCCCAGGCATCATCACGAGTGACACGGATGAGTGTGGCCAGGCCACTGGGTGAGAGAGCTTCCTGGCCTGTGATTCTCTGGCACTGCTGTCCTTGCCGCCTCCCACCCTGTCTGCCCAGATCCATCCTCCTCCCTCCTGCTCTGTTTCTATTTCTGTCTTTCTCTCCTCCTCCCCAGGCCTCAGGGGGCCCCTGGCTGGCTTGAAACCCTCTTCCTTCTTCCCCAGGATGAGGAAGGAGTTTTCACTGCAGGCCCCTCCAAGCCCCCACCCCCACCCCCATGCACCAGCTTTTCCTCCCCAGCCCCAGCCTCCTCTCCACAGCCCCCTCCTTGGGCCCAGCCAACCCCACCTCACCAAGGGTCCATCAGCCTCCTCATGCAGTGACCACAGAGGTCCCTTACCCTCCCTGGTAAGCCTGCCCTTGGGTACACTCAGCCAAGGTCACAAGGTCACCCCAGGCTCAGACACAGACCCCAGAGGCCAACTGCCAGGCCCAGTGTTTAGAGGTGGGGGCAAGGGAGGGAGACCTTGACAGGTGACTTCCTTTTTCTCTGATTTAGACGTCTGTCTCTAAACTGGGACCAATGATATTACCCTCACAAAGCAGTGGGGGCCAGAGAGTGGGGTGTCCACTCAGTGCCTGCTCAGCAGTGGGCTGAGGTTCAGAGGACTCAGGTCAGGCCACCTGCATTTTTATTTTACTTATTTATTCTTGCAGTAGGGTCTGACCATGTTGCCCAGGCTGGTGTCAAACTTCTGGATTCAAGGGATCACCCTGTTTCAGCCTCCCAAGTTGCCAGGGCAACAGGTGCAACCACCATGCCCAGCTCTGCCTGCCTCTTTAAATCCTAATTTTTCCACTTTCTGCTTATCATGGACAAATTACTTAAACTTTTTGAGGCCTCACTTTCCTCACCTGTGAAGTGGGATAACACTACCCATGGCCTAGGGTTCTTGCCAGGCCTAAATGATTAAGTGCTTAGCACTAGTAGGCACCTGTGATAGCTATCATTATCAGTTTATTTTGTTCCCCACTCCTCGTCTGTGCGAACACAGGAGCAGCCTGGCTGCCAGTCCCCCACGGGTTAGTCATCCTCCTTCAGTCTGCCTCGGGTCCCTTGTGCTGCAGTCTCTGGGCCCCGCCCGCAAGACATACAGACACGCACACGGGTCAGCAGAGCGGCCTCGGACACAGAAAAAAGTTTAATTCTGCTGCGGCGGAGGGTCCCAGCTCCGGTAGGGAGGGAGATTTGGTTTTGGATTCTGTTCATGGGGGATTCATTGGGGGACGAGGAAGGCATAGGGGAGAGTCTGGTCCTTCCTGTGGGACCTGCCCGGGAGAGTAGGGAACGGAGATCTGGAGAGATGGGAAGACTGGGCCAAACTGGGAGGGCCGGAAAAGGAGGGACAAAGGACAGGACAGAGACATAAGACAGACAGAGGGCAAGACAGAGACAGACAGGGGATAAGAGGATCCCAAGCCAGACCCTCTGGGACCCGGGCGGTGAGTGGGGTGTGGTGGGGCTTTGGAGGCCGCCGCGGGACAGAATAGGATCTAGTCCAGCCAGATACAAGAAATGGGCCCCTCGCCCCTGCCCCGGGTCCTGGGCTGGGGGAGGAGGCTCGTGTCTCAGTGCTGCAGTGTTGGGGGGCCCTGCCCCTCCCCGCGCTTCGCTGTGTAAGGCACCGGCTCCAGCGAGGTACGCGAGCGCGCGGGGGGAGGGGCGGGGGAGGGACGGTCCCACCCGAGCCCCTGGCGGGGGCGTGGCCTCGGGCCTAGCTGGGAGGCCCCGCCCCTCTCAGAAGAGCGGGGCGATGCGCTCCAGTTCGCTGCTGTTGCAGGCGTCCGGGCTCTGCGCGCTCCCCAGGTCCACCTAGGTCCGGGCAGCTGGGTGTGGGTCCGCGGTCCCAGGCATCCCGGTGCCCGCCCACCGCTCACACGGTACTCTCCAGCATCCACTCGGTGCTGGTAAAGGCCAGGCGCGCCCTGGCGGAGCCCAGCCCCAGGTCTCCATCCTCCCCGGCCGCGCCCCCTCCGGCCCCGTCCAGGTGTGGAGTGGAGCGGTGGCGCTTTGTCCGCCGGGCGCGGCGCGGGTAACTGTGACTCTGGAAGAGCGCCCCATAGTCCCCGTCGAAGGAGTAGCGCTGCTGCGGCCTCGGGCGGGCTGAGGCTCCCCCTGGAACCAGGGCTAGAGTCGGGGGCGCTGAAGCTGGCGGCCCCAGCGCCCCAGAACGGCTCCTCCGAGGCCCTGTCCCAGCCTGAGATTCCTCCCCAGAAGTTTCCTCGGAGGGAAGCAGGCACAGTGAGGTGGCTGAGCCGCCTAGCGAGCGTCCCAATACCACCTCTGGTTCCACGCAAGTTGCCTCGGCTACAGTGGCCTTGGTTTTGGCCTCGACGGCGACACCGGCAGCAGCTGGCACAGCCACCTCGCGCCCGGGGGCCACCTCGCGCAGCGCCTCGTAGCGGTCCTGCGGAGCCTGCTGCGCGCCTGCGCCATTGGTCTGCGAGCACACGTGACTGACCCGCGGGGGCGACCTGGAGGTGCCCTTGCCTCGGCGGCTGTCCCCATCACCATACACCTTGTAGCGAATCATGAGCAGAACGATGAAAACAAGGACTGAGGCAACAATGACGCCCCCGATGGCGATGATCATGGTGCCGCCCAAGAAATGGGCCCTCAGCGGACGGCAAGGTGCAGGATCCCCAGCAGTGGTGAATTGCACACAGCCCACCACTCTCGTAGCCGGCAGGGCGGTGGCCCCGTCATCATAAACTGCCAAAACACACAAGTCGTAGGCGCGGCCAGCGGCCAGATCATTCACCAGGAAGGTCTGGCTGGTGGACGGGATCATCCTGTTGGAAGGGGCAGGATGAGACCAGTTAGACCCACTCTGAACCACTCCTTTTCACTTCAGGCCCCACTCATAGTGAACAGAGGGGATGGAAAAGTACTCACAGTGCCTCACCCCTCACGCCACCCCCACTGAGACAACTGCAGCCATACCCCAGAGACATATTCCCACCCTCTCCGGACCCATACAGCCCACCACGCCTCTTATCTGCAGGCCCTGACCTCAGACCCACCTGGCTGTCTGATCACTCATCTTCCCCCATGGACACATCCTGGCACCTGCCTGGGAGGAGAGTATATAGGGTCACCCCTGGCCTCAAGGGACACACCTTCTTAAAGTGTCTCACTCTAGGACAAGTGCCATTCAAGCTCCTTCATTTACATGTATTTACCATTTATGGGAACTGATGCTACCGGCCGCTCCCTGTTGTCTGCAGAGCCCACTCAGGTGGAGGCGAAATCAGTGGGAGACCATGACGCAGGTCCCTCCCTTGTATCTGCATGCCCTGCCTTTGGGTAAACCATGTAGCTTCTGGCCCAATTTCTGAGCCCCTCAACAACCCCCTCATGAGACCACTGCCACAAGTTACTCACCTTTTATTGAACTGTGGCTCCCAAGACACACCACAAAAAGGCCAAATATGGATGGTTCTGCTACTGTGCTTAGGCCTATTTGCCCCTTTGCATACCCAGCCCTATATCTCCTGAAGTCACTGAGTCACACTCCCAGAGTTATGTCAATGACTGAGTCAAATGTAGCCAGACCTGTGTGCTCCTTTCTTGCTCTGGGCCCCTCCCCTCAAAGGAGCAGTGGAAAGGTTCAGTGAAAGCAACTAAGTCAGAGCCAGATTGCTCAGGTCTGAATTTCTTCCCTGTCCCCTGCTAGTTTTGTGAGCTTAGGTAATTTTCTTAACTTCTCTGTGCAACATTTTCCCCAAATGAGGATAATTCCCATATCATAGAAATGAGATGAGTGAATGAGTTATCGTACCCAAAGCACTTAATATCACCCTTAACTTCTGTCCCGTGTAATGATGGCCAGGAATCCTTGCTGTGGCTCCCATTCCTGCCAACCACATTCTCCCTTGTCTGTGAGACCCACCCTTCTCCCAGTGGAGGGCCACACCTTCAGGCCTTGGCCCTCTGCTGTTGAGCATGTCCCCTCCACCCTGCTGGCCAGTACAGCCTCAGTACAGCCCAGGCTTGCCAAACTTACTTGGATTTGCAATGCCAACACCCACCCTCACAAGCCCTCCTCTCCTTTAAAAGCCTCTTACTGGCTCACCAGGGACAAGGACCGCCCCTTCTTCTGACTGGGACCATGCAGAATAAGCTCCACCCCTCTGAAAGGCCATGCCCCATCTCCACTGCCCTCTTACCTCTTGAGCAAGCTCCACCTTTCCCTCCAGCTGGGCCACCTTCCAGTCCTCAAGCCCCACCTCAGGTATCCTGTCCCCAGGAGGGTACCCCACTACCAAGAGTACCCTCCAAACAAAGGTGTCAATACAGCCCACCCTACCCCGCAAAGGCGCACCCACTCTCCCCTGCTACCTTGTACTGACTGTTCTCTGACCACTGCCACCCTGGCTTTCTCTTCCCCTCCTCTCTCTGAGAGCCTTGGATTCCCTTGCTCCTTCCCCCAAAATAACTAGTTGCTAAGGCCTCCCCTTTTTCAAGGACAGGGACTGGCTCCTTAAGAAAGCTGGAGTCCATGTGTCTCTAATTGGCTGCAAGACCAGAGCAAGCAGCCTAGCAGGCTTCTGGTTGGATGTCACCTCCGCCCATGGCAGCAGTGAGGAATTTAACCCCTGCAGTACCATAGCACAGCATCTGCAATGGGGAATGGAGGACTAGAACTGTGGCCCTAGGAGGAAAGGAAGAGTCCTGGAATCTGTTGCCCAGCTGGGGACAGGGGCCATCGACAGCTGCATACATGCAGAGTCTGGGAGCCTCTGAACTGTCCCCTATCCTATCTTGTGGTGGCCATGCATCAGAAAGAGGGAAAGAGAAACAGAGAGGTGGAGAGTCACCAAAACTAAGTTACACACAGACATGTATTATCACCTCCCTTCCAGCCCTGCCTGGTAAACAGTGGGCATTCAATAAGAGCATCTTCTGTCCGCATAAAAAGAACAGCTCTGCTACTTTACATGTGACCATGAGCAAGTGACATCTCCCACTGAGACTCAACTTCTCCATCTGTAAAATGGGAAAGAGCTAGGGCAATGAAACAGCCACCTTGAGAGCATCTCATGAAGTTTCCTGCTTGCCTGCTGTTAGTAAGATTAGATGTGGCTGCTCTATCTTAGTAGGCCCAGGGCCCAACATAGGATCTGACACACAGTATTTACTCAGTTTTTGTAGCCCAAATCAAAACAAGGAAAATAGTTGGACGTGGTGGCATACTCTGTGATCTCAGCACTCAGGAGGCTGCAGCAAGAGGATTCCTGGGAGTTTGGGGCCAGCATAGGCTACGTGAGTTCAAGGCCAGGCTGAACCACATAGCAGAACCCATCTCAAATAGAAAAAGAGGAAAATAAAACCAAGGGGAAGGAGAAGCATTTATTCATCCAACCAATAGTGGAAAGATACCTCCAGGCCTGCAGCCACGAGAATACTGGGAAAGGCAGAGCTGGAGGCCAAGCGGCAGGTTTTTATGAAGGTCTGCACCCAATAGTTTGGGCTCCCACAGCCGAGGAAATGGCTCTGGCCTTCCCAAGTGGAGTCAAACTCAAGGCCAGGCATTCAGCAAGGTGCTCCTCAGTGTGTTTGAGAGAGGCAGAAACAAGGACAGACCCATAAGTCAACAGCCACTTATCAAGAGCCCACTGTGTGCCATGCCCCTTGTGGACCAGCTTGGGGCTGAGCGCTGCACTGGAAACCAGTGAGAGGGAGACACCACAGGGCTAAAGCACTGGTTCTCTATGTTCCATAAGCTGACGGCAGGGACTTGGTGTCCTGGTCTTCCTGGGTGCCTAGCACCCAGTTTAGGACCTAGCACAGAGCAGGGGCTAAGTGCCTAATGGGGGCAAGAGTAAGAAAAGGTACAGATATAACCCCAGAGATGAGGAGAGATGATAACTCCCATGTCTGTCTATACCATACAGGTCTGTTTCCATCAGGAAGTGGCTTCTAACCCAACAGAGGGTAGACAACATATTTTTCTCATGCTCATTTGCTTTCTGGTCTTCTAATATATCCAGTGTGTTGGTATAGTAGTACTGGTATATAACTAGTAAATAGAAATGTAATTGTAAACACACGTGTGCTGCGCTCTGAACACTTCACTGATGAGGCACATGAGACCCTGTGGCCAGCAGTGATATTGACCATGATGTCCCTTAGATCCTGCTCTAAATAGCCAACCACGCCTGTGCTGATTCACTGTGACAACTCCAGTGCTCAACCCTGGTCTGCTCACGTAGGTGTTCAACAAATAGTTGCTAACTGCAAAGAAATAGAGACAGTGAGATGGAGATAAAGGAGAGAGGAGAAAGGGCCAATGAGAGCTGGGCCAAGTGGGTAAGACCATCCAGAACCCCAGCTGAGCAAGAAGGCCAGGACCTGGAGCAGGTGGGGCAGGGTTGGATTTGGGAGGAGGTCCTAGGGCTGCAGCACCCACACGCACCTGTAGACGAGGGAGTCATCCACCGAGCTGTTATACTGGACCTGGTACATACGGATGCCAGGCACCGGCCTCTGGGCGGGCCAGCGGATAAGCACCGAACTAGAGGTTAGCTCCGCTGCCACCAGCCTGCGCTCAGCAGTAGAATCATTGGCACCAGCTCTGCCTGGTGTGGCGATGTCAGAGGATCCAGGCTCGGTGAGAGGTGGCGGGGCAGCAGGTGGGGGTGCCATCAGTGGCAAAGGTACCACGCACACCTCCACGGGTGCTGTGGCTTCCCCTGCCGCATTGGAGGCAATGCAAGTGAACGTGCCACTGTCCCGCAGGGTGGTGATGGTCACATCCAGCGTCCCATCCCCCCGGACCCGGGTCCGGCTGGAGTTCCCCAGCAGTCGCCCATCAGGTGCCACCCAATGCACCACGGGCTCAGGGTCCCCCACTGCCCGGCAGCGCAAACTGACCGCCTGGCCCTCTACCACCAGGGCCCGGGCCCCAGCCTGCCGTGTGATCAGTGGGGGTTCACACAGGAACTCCTCCTCAGGGATAGACCAGAAGTAGCGGTCAGTGAGGTGCTCCGGGGTGGCACAGGTCTCCAGGTCATCCTCCCGGGTCAGCCGCCGCAGCCAGAGCAGCTCGCAGTTGCAGTGCAGTGGGTTTCCACCAAAGCTGACAGTCAGTGGCGTGGGTGGCTTGGGTCCCCCACCCTGGGACCTCAGAAAGAGCCCATCAGGTGGGAGTTTGTGCAGACGGTTGGAGGTCATATCCAGGCGCACCAGCTTGTGCAGCTGCACGAAGGTCCCCTCGGCGATGTGGTCGATGAGATTGTGGTCCAGTGTGAGGGTGTTGAGGTTCACCATCTGGCCCACCGCTTCCCAAGGCAGGGCCTCCAGGTTGTTGTAGGATAGATCCAGGTCCTCCACAGTGGACAGGAAGGCGTCAAAGGCGGCTGGCTCCACCTTGCGGATCTGGTTGTTGCCAAGGATCAGGTGGCGGAGGTTGCCCAGGCCTCGGAGCTGGTCACCGCGTACCTCAGCTAGACGGTTGCTGTCAAGGTGCAGGGCACGGAGGGCGCGGAGGTCAGCAAAGGCGCCAGCTGCCACCTGGCCAATGGTGTTCCGGGAGAGGGTGAGATGCACCAAGCTGGTCATGTTGGCAAAGTCGCGGCGGCGCACAGCCGCAATGAAGTTGTCGGTGAGCCTCAGCTCCACCACACGCCTGTCGATGGCGGGCGGCACAAAGAGCAAGCCAGTCTTGGCGCACAGCATGGTCAACGTGGGTGCCACGTTCTGGCAGATGCAGCGGCCGGGACACGGCTGGCCACGAGATGCCCCAGCCCAGAGCAGCAGCAGGAAGGGCAGGGCAGCAGGTGACGGCGAGAGAAGCGCCGAGGCAAGTGGGCCCGGAGCCATGGCGCAGAGGGAAGGCAGGAGTGGGCAGTGAGACCTGCAGGGACAGAGACGGTTACCCAAGCATATAGCTCAGTCACCACCCAGTGGCCCTGGGACACCCTACTAAGAGTTCGACCTTCATCCCTTCCCCCCAGTGCTTAGCCCCTATGGGACAGTGACAGGACAGTGACAGCATGCATTCCATATTAATAGATGACTCTATTTCCATGCTGGGTGCTAAAGTACCCACCCCCTCAAGCATTCTACCCCCACTTCTGTCCCTTTGCTAAAAGCTTCTAGACCTTTTATCATCTCACAACAAAAAAGAGGTGATACTTGGTCCAGCCTGGGCCCTT